TGTCTGCTTGACGTTTATTCAGCTGTGTAAAAACTATAACTTTAATCTCAGCCAAACCGATTTACTCAGGAACAAATAAAATACAAAAAAAAGCCAAACAATAACAAGTTTTCTAAGTGACTTATATATCATGTTTAACCTCCTAAGACCCGAACTCTTCCACTGCATGCATTTTTATTTTCTCTTTGATATTTGGGCATATTGGGGCCCGATAAATGTATAAACAAAGAAAAATCTGATTTTTGTTTTTATGAAAAATCAGAGCCACATATAAAGGTATTCGTTTAAAATTTTGATAGAACAGTAGTAGTATAATGTCCTCGTAAATGGATATCAGGCCGTTGAAGAGCAAAAATGAGTATTTTGGTCTAAATAACCCAAAGAGAGAGAGTGTGTGTGTGTGTGTGTGTGTGTGGATAGATAGATATGGACGCCAGGTCCTAGGAGGTTAACCTGAGTAGCGAAAGACGGCGGTGGGTTTGAAAACGAATTGCCGGGAGTCCGGTGTTCTCACCGGCTCTAGTGAGCCTAGCCCCCGGCTAGCTATCGAGCTGGTGGGTAACAGACGTCTCCGTAAACGTCGGAGCGCTTTTGAAAATATGTGGTGTCTTGATAAACTGAGCAGATATTTGAGGTTTGCACAGCTACATTCTCGCCTGAAAATGTGTAAAACGTTTATTTTGTGACCCAGAAAGAATAATAAGAGTAACATTAAAACTAACTAGCTGCCGCCATTATTGGAAACTGAGCAGGGCCGCGCTATGAATTCTGGGACACAGCTTCTTCTTCTTCAGGGTTTAACGGCAGTTGGCATCCTTGTACATGCAGTCCTGCCATCTTCTGTTTCAGTCCGTTATTACACTCTTAAATCCTACTACTTATTCCTGCGTCTTTTGTGATCTTACAAAGCTTCAAACGACGCGTCGACTATTAAATTAATCGTCGACTATTTTGATAGTCGACGAAATCGTGACTAGTCGACTAATCGTGGCAGCCCTAATTCATGGCACACCTGGTTTTAATTATCATTGCAAAGGAAATAAAGATTGATATAATTGCTTGACATATCTATTAATAGGAAGTATAAATAAAGAACTGTGCTGTTAATAACAACTCGTATGGTGAAATGCTTCCTCTTCATTGTGCAATGTGAATGCTGCCGTTTTCCTATTGTTCCACTCCAGAGTGACCCCTGCTGTAGTAAAAGCCCATTACACTGTTAACTTTAATCTAGAGTAGCTCATATATAATTGTCTTCCTTTAAATTTCAGTTCCATTATTGTGGATTTCCTTTTGTTCGAAACTTCCCCCAACTCTGTGTTTCTCTTTGTTTTGCTGTCAATCTTCAGGTACTTCAGCAGCAGGAGTGTAAACTGCTGTATCCCCGGAAAGAAGGCCAAAAGCCAGAAAACAAGAGTAAAAACAGATACAAGAATATCCTCCCCTGTGAGTCACACAGCAGCCTGCCATTTCCTGCCTCTCCAACTTCCTGTGGAAAGTGACACAAATAGACAATGTAGAGGCCTAAGCAGAGCATGCAGAGTTTTGCTTTGATGGCTCACAGCCTTTACGTTATGTTTGGGGAGGGGACAAAATCTAGTGTGGTCTCACAAAGCTGTAGACTTTTTGTTGTGTACTAATAGTTTTTACTTTGTGTTTTCAGTCGATACGACACGTGTTGAAATCAGGGAAATGGATCCTGATGTTCCTGGTTCAGACTACATCAATGCCAACTATATCAGAGTGAGTGTGTTCAGCATTAGATAAGACGTGTATCAACAAATGCATTATAAAAAAATATAGTAGTAGTAGTAATAATAATGAGTATTCCTGGGATTTTGAGAACATTTATCTGGTAGCATGCTAGGTTCTCATCTTCATGTGATCATAGCTGCATAATTATCATTCATGCTCACACCCATAGAGTATGCATGAAGATGGACGTTTTGTGGAGGAGGGGAAAGTCTTCATTGCCACCCAAGGGTGTCTACAAAACACAGTCGTTGACTTCTGGAAGATGGTGTATCAGGAGAATTCACATGTAATTGTCATGACCACAAAGGAGATGGAACGAGGACGGGTGAGCAGTTTGCAGCAAGCGTCCCCCAAATATGCAGCTTTATATTTTAGCAGAGGGTCTGTGGGGCAGTGAAACTCTAGTTCCATGTACAAAATACCTAAAGGAAAGCTAATGGACGTAATGGAAATGTCTTACTTTTCCTGATATAATTTTTCTTTTGCTGTTATCTTTTTTCTTTATCCTGTTTCAGTGGATGGAAGAGAAAAACTGTCAACATAAAAACATATTTCTGATTTAATTTAAAATGCTCACATTTTATGCATTGCCCTATATGAAATACTGGTGGTTTGCTCTCACTCATTTTTGTTCAGCTTTTTCAGATGTAAAGCATTATTAGATGGCTGTAGATTGGTGTGCGGTCATGTAGTAGCAATGATGGCGTGTGTTAAGTTTAGGGGGGAGGGGAGAAAGATGGCTGATATGACATGTAAGCTGATTGAAAAGCTGCTCGAGATGAGCGGGTTCTTTCGATGGTCTAATACTCGTCAGTCAGAGCAGTATTTTTCATTAGAGAGGGCAAATCAAACAGTGTTGGAAGGTCATGCTTCAGGAATTTTTAGTATCAAAAGCTTCATTCCCAGCATTGTAGTGCATTTTTCATTTTATTATTTATTTATTTTTTTTAATGCACACTTTGTGTCTTTTCAGTATCAGTTTGACTGATAAAAGACGTTAATGCAGCAGGCACTTGGGCATTTTTGCATGCTTTAAAATATTCATAGATCTACACACACAGGCACGACTTGCTCTTCTATTTTTGTGTACTTTACACATCAAGTACATCATGTAAATAGATGCTGCATGCACCATTATAAACCCTTTCATACGTCAGACGTATTTAAAACCAAGAAAATAAAAACAATTACAGCAAGATTTGTGCTTATGTTTAAAACTTTCCGCAGACTTAAAACCATAGATATCTAAGCTTTGAGTTGAATATTAAGAACTACATCCATGTTACCCTTTGCTGCCAAACAGTCACCTTTTAGGCTGGATGGAAAACTAAATCCTACTTTTTGCTCTGATTTAGAACAAATGTTTCCGTTACTGGCCAGACCTTCATGCCACTAAGGAGTTTGGAAAAGTGCTGGTGAGGAATGTGGACGAGCGGCCAGCACAAGACCATATCCTGAGGAAGCTGGAGGTGACACGTCTGGACCGGGTAGGGAACGCTCTATTCCCAGTCTGAGCCGACCCACTGACCTGAGGACAAATTATCTCACACCACACATGCACATGCTTGTGTTTGTACACTATAAGCTTGCACTTGTGGATTCACAGATCCACAATCCAGTGCTCATGCTCAGTTTTTTTTGTGCTAAATGCATAAATGCATAAATAATCTTTAATGCTGCGTTTGGCACGTGTATACAATAATAAGCAAAAAGTTCAGAGTGCCTGCCTTTCTTTTTTTTCTGTGTTTATTAATGAAAGCTTAGAGGCTGTTGCTTTGATCAGTGAGGAACACTGAATATTTCAGGGGTGATATTTGGACACACACACACACAGTCTGGATGTTAGGTGGGCTATAGCAACAGAGATGGAATATCCTCTGTTAACTTTTATTACAGTTCTTCTTTAAATGGGTTAAATTTTGATTTGAGTATTTTCTTTTCATTTCAGTCTAGTTCCAGTTAGTTTCCAGAATAGGTCTGTATGTTTCAGTTCAGTTTTTATTCAGAAGAAATGTGATCAGAAGCACGACGTAGGCTATTCAGATAAGGTGTGACAACACAAACAACACTTTGGTTTATTGAGAATTATGATGTTATTTGATTGTGAGTTTCCATTAACACAGTCTCATCAGGCTGATTTGGAGAGGAAATGTCTTAGGTTCTAGGAATCCTTTGGTTTTCATTTTCCGATAGCTAGTTCTGTTTTGTTTGTTTGTTTGTTTGTTTGTTTGTTTGTTTGTTTGTTTGTTTGTTTTTTAAATCGTTTTTTGGTAACTTCACCTCATCATATTTGTCACTTATAGAAGGAGCCTGTGAGGTACATCTGGCACTATCAGTACCTGAGCTGGCCAGACCACGGAGTGCCCAACGAGCCTGGAGGCGTCCTCTGGTTCCTAGAGGAGGTCAACCGCACCCAGAGCACCATTCCACACACTGGGCCAATTGTCGTCCACTGCAGGTATGACAAGGAAGAAAATGGACTATTTTATTATAGGATGCTCATGCAACTTCACTAATTCTGGGTTGGGATTATAAAAAAAACAACACCAAAGAGATCGGTTTCTCACACTGACAATAAGTTATGTTCTTCTGCATACACATACATAAAGCACTTTGTTAGAAGCATCTGCTGTTGTGTTTTTTTTTATTTTTTTTTTTTTTTTTTTATTTTTATATATGCAGGCATCCCATCAGCCAGTGATGTACTGAAAGATGAAAGTCTGTTGATATCAAAATGGTGCGACTGGCATCTCAGTGACTTGTCTGTGATAGCACTGTCGGTACTGGGCAGCTGGTTTGACTACTTTTGAAATTGCTGAACTCCTGGTGGTTTCTACAGTTTACTGAGAGTGGTTATAAAAATATTGATGACTGCTCCTTACAACTGGAAAGTGTCCCAGAATCAGAAACCTATAGTTCAGCATCAGGTTTAATTCCTTGTAACCAGGAACTGAAATCTGAGACTAACAAAAAAAACCCCAGCTTGTTTGATGAATATCCATTTGGGGTTGTGGTCAAAATTTGACATTAATACCAAGAACCTGGGAACCCTACCTGCTGGTTAAAGTCTGCACTTGGTATAGTGGCATATACACTTTTGGCCTCTTAATGTGAGTTGGTCATAGTTTAAATATAGTTTCATAGTTGAAACTAAAGCTGGCTGTGTTTGTGTTTACATATTTATTTATCGTTTCCTTTTACAAGTTTCGTTTTACTTTCATAGTCACAAAGAGTTAGTCACAAAGCAAGTTCAAAGTGTTTTTGTGAACATGAGGAAGAACAGTGGACTTCAGCAGTCTGTCCAGCCACCAGATCACCAGAATGCCTTTGAAATGAGCTAAAAGTACAAATCTACACAATGTATGTCAATCAGGCTGGCCCCAGCTGAAAATGCTCCTGTGGTTGTAAGGGTTAATCGTAAGCACCTAAATTTCACCAACTGAATTTGTTTAATTTATTTATTTTTTTCCAGTTGGCCACTTGGGTGTGCTATGATTAAGGTTTATAATCTGGAGTTAAGAACGCCAGTTTGGTTAACAACTTGTCAGTTTTAAATTTCATTTTAATTCGGCCGATATAGTGTGACCACAATGTGGTCGGCCACAATCAATGTCGACCTCCGATTAAGTCCCAAGCTCGGTGTTCCTTCAGAAATGAAGGTTTAAACACACACACTCTTAATCTCGCTGAATATAACTAAATATAATAGGTAATTTTGAGGGCCTAACTATTAAAAGTCTGTAGAGAACAGGCAGCTGTTTGATCTGTTTTTAATGGATATATCAAAACAAGCAACACACACATTGTTGCGATAAATGCAATGTCTTGAAAAAAAAATCCCAAATTAATTAACATAAAAAACATTTTTTTTAAAAATTCAGACGTACAGTTTTGCACACACACTGTGTCTATTGCGTTTGCAGACATGTTGATAGCAAATGTTTTAAACAGTTTTTTTTAGTGTGGTATTCTGTCTCTTAACACACCCATCCAAACATGTACTGTAAACACAAGGACAACACTGACCTGACTCTTAAACACAGCGGTCAGCTGGCTTCAGATAAATCCGCCTCTATAAACAGAGATGTGCTTATGCACAGTCTGTAAGCAAGGACCAAGATAGCAGAAGCCTTCTGGTTGTCTCAGCACTGTTTACCAGTCAAGTTTGAGCGGGGTTTGGTTTCATGCAACTCAACAGTCCATATTCTGGTTTTGCAGTCAATTCAGCAGTTTCACATTTTAAGCTTATCTGCATTTGTAAACAGTGGGCCTGATTTCTGCTGACTACTTTGAAAGCACCACAATTTTCCATTGCCTTCACGGTCTACATCAGCAGATATTAATGGTGGGATTGTTGATGAAAATTGTTGATTTTTTTTTTTTTCCCCTAAAGCAATAAATGGAAATAAAAACAAGTGAAACCTCAGCTTATACTTGTGTGCTCAAATATTCTCATAACTGTTTTTCACCTGGATTCTGATGCTTTTCTTCAAGTATTGTAGCTACACATGGTTTTAACCTTAAACTTCTTCTTGTTAAAGTGCAGGCATCGGCAGAACTGGCACAATTATCGTCATTGACATCCTTATCGACATTATTAACCGCCAAGGTATGAGGCTCAGATATGAAACTTTCTGGATTGTGAATCCTTTACTTTTTAATAAAGATATATATCTTTGTTCTGCTAACATTTGGATCTGCGTGTTTTAGGTCTCGACTGCGACATCGATGTCCCAAAGACCATCCAGAGGGTACGTCAGCAGAGATCAGGCATGGTGCAAACAGAGGCTCAGTATAAGTTCATCTACATGGCTGTGCAGCAGTACATAGACACAGTGCAGAAGAGACTGGAGGAGGAGCAGGTAATTGGCTATATTAGTGTTTTTTACTGTATTAAAACATTAGATTTTTGACAGAGCAGTGAAGGCGTGTAAAGTCCGTCAGTTACATTTTAAACGCTAGAGCTGAGAGGCAAATCATCAGCATGTCAGCTGGTTAGGCGTGTTTACCACTTGCTCTTTCACTGCTGAATGTGGTTACAGTTTGAGATTTAGTAATTTCAGTAGATGACAGATTAATTAATTTTTTGTCACTTTTCAGAGGAATAAGATGACAGAGAGGGAATATTCCAATATCAAATATCCCCAGATGACCAACTCGAGGTCCAAGCACAACATGACCTCCTCACGCTCTTCTTCTGTGTAAGTCCATCAGGCATACACGTGTTAAAAAAATGTCATCATAGGACTTAAGCAGGGTTTGACAGTGGGTTCATTTTCACAGCGATTATTTTCTCTTTTAGGCTGACAAACGACGATTCATCAAGCGTATACGAGAACATAAACTTCAAAAGCCCTCAGACATCTTTCAGCAGTAATACCAGGAGGTAAAATCGGCGCCGTGGACCTCCTCTTCTGTCTGCCTCTCTGTAAGTGTCAATTTTTATTTCCATGTTTCTCAGAGATCCATCCTTTAAGCTAGGAAAAAAAAAGCCCAACATTGTTTGTTTCATTGTTTCCTTTTCCTTCTGCCTTAGTCACTTTAGAAAACTACCACAAGCATTTCTGGTTTCACGTGCTGGATTCCATTAACAGTAAATGTAGCTTTGGGTGGAAAAAACAAAACAAAACTAACTTAAGCCTGACGTGTCAGAAAATGTTTCCCCTAAAATCAAAGCTCAAGGTGTTCTTCCGCTGATGGCGGAAAGTTCTGTTTCTTCTAGTGTTGAATTAATTTTCCGTGTGTAAGCAGAAAGGTACTTTTCCTATATTTTTTCAGTTTTAAATTATAGGTTAGCCAGGAGCAGCCGAGTTGGCTTTAAAGAATACCAGTGCTCCCTTCTTTTTTTTTTTTTTATTTATTTATTTTTTTTTAAGAGCAACAAAAGACTGAATTTAATTTCAAATTATAATGAACCTCAGTTCTCACACTGTCATTCTTTTCTGTCATGGTGACTAATATAAGCACCAAGACAAGGAACCCAGCAGTGTTACAGGGAATGAATCATGACTTTGATTCTGGGGTCACAGGCACCAAACGTATTCTGAATACAGCATTGATTACAGTTGAATGTATTTAAAATGCATTAATTGAATGTGGCATGTTGTTTCTGGAGGACTTCTGTCAGATATGTTTTAAAATGCATAACATAAAAGACTAACTACCATTCTCCTCAGCCTCTCTCTGTCTTTCTTGGCTCAAACTTTGATACAAATATGGAAAAGATTTAATTTTCATGGGTAGTTTCAAATTTTTAGCTGTGCATCAGTGTTTACGAGCGTGTGGTTGGAGGCGTATATGATTGTATGTAGAAAGTATTAAGTAAGTAATGGGTGCACTTAAACCTGCACCTATTGCTGCTTGATGTGCAGCACTCAACAGGGAATGTTGAAGAGCAGCATGATGGACCAATAAATTCCTAAATATCAAAATGTCCTGAGTGAAGTTATAAAAATCTAATTAATAATAAATGAGTAAATAAGATCCCTGCCAGAAAGACTGAGGACATGTTTGTGTAACTTCAGTGATGCTTGAGAACAGCGTCATTATATTTATTTTATAATTTCGATCTGATTCGAGCATCAAGTCATGAAATGTAAAATCCAAACCGTACTTGGTCTACATGTCTGTGTTTCTTTCACTTTCTCAGCTCCTGAAAATCCCTTGGGAGGGTGGGGGGGACTCCACACTCGGTACACTCCACATCGCTGGATCTTGGCGTGGACCGAAAGTGGCGGGCTGATGTGTCTGCTGCCACCGTCCTGCTGGACTTCTGTCTGTCCGGACTTCTGTGGAGTCCACAGCATAGTGCCCTTACTCAGGCCCCCCACTTCCACTTGCCCTTTTTCTTCCCTCCTGTGCTAATGCTTCTCCCTTTCTTAACCAGCACAAGTGCCTTGTCACAGGATGTGTCTGTAATCTAGCCAACCCAAACCCACTGTTACTCTCCAAGTCTACATGAGGGCGAAAAACAGTTTTCTCTTAGGGTGACAGATATTAAATGTGGAGCCCGGCCTGGCCTCAAGTGAACGTAGCTGTGTGGGACTAAGGGAAGAGGTCAAAACTAAGCCGTTTGTCCGCACGCTGCCCCGACTCACTCGGTTATCTCTTTCTCAGTCTTGGCTGCTTGTCGTCTAAATTGGATTCTAAGACCGTTTTTGCTGTGTTCTGTCTGTCCAGCTGTGGTGGTTATTAATGTGGCCGCTGAGTGATGGCAAGGGCAGTTGCATAACCTGCTTCATGACCCCAGTCACAAGACGGGCAAGCAAGTCCCCTCCCTCCTTTGAATCTTTAATGAAGTTGTCTTTTTAAGTTGTGAAAGTGAATAAATTTTATTTAGATATGACTGATTATCAAAGTTTTGTATTTTGAAGGAGTTATATATAATCTCACTAGCTGCAAATGCAATCCACTGTTCTTTGACAATTTTGGAGGTGATTTGTTTTCGCTTTCGGGACAAATCCCATCTGCCCCGACTGTCTATGAACGTGAACATGACCTCCAGTTAAAGAACAGTCATTCATGAAAACTAGGGCTGTTCTGTCCATGAAGTCATTTTTTTTCTTTTACTGATGTTGGTATAATGGTTATGTTTTGATGTTTATTTAAATATATATTTATAAAGATGCGCTGTGGTGTAAGAAATCATTCTTAGATATTTGAAGTCCATATTTGACAGAAAACTGGGTGGAAAGGATTCCTGAATGGACGGTCGGAGTCGTGCTCAGCCGACCGCCGTCTCGCAGCTTAGTTTGACTGGTCGTCCTTGTTAATCAGCGGGTCTGATGCTGTTCAACATCTGTCAGGGGGTAGATTGTCACAAGGAGACAAGGGAAAGGGGGGCGATTACAGTGAGGCAGATGGCCATCTGGCCCACTGTAATCACCCCGAGATTGAAGAATAGATTTGTCTCCAAAAAGTAATTTAGAAGATGGCCGTAATCCAGGCTTGATGATAGCAGAGAGAGTAAGCTGACGTCACTGATGTGATAAGGAAGACAGCGGTGCCGCTGTGCAAAGGGCTGTGCAGCAGCTTGTTGGCTACTTTTAGCCTCAAGAAGCAGCACCAAAATATCCTGTGCAAATAGAAGCGTAGAAAGGTTGGAAGTCTGTCCTAGATGGTTTAAACCGTAGTCACTCAATGTCCTGAAAACCCTTTTTTTTTTTTTTTTTTTTAAACCCAACAAACTACTGAATGTCTGACCGGTGGAACGTACCCTTGGTAATATGTTCAGTCCACTTTTTTCCTATTCAAGCATCAAAATAAAAGCGTGACTGAGTGGCACTCGTTCACACCGTTCGTCTTTACAGCTGGACTCCTGCAGGTGCAGCTTGTGATTTAATGTTATTTTTGAAATGAACACAATTTATGATGCAGCCAAGCACAATCAAGTTCTTCTTTCTTTAAACGGTTGACTCTTATGTGAATAAAAGCTCTGTTTTACATGAATGTCGGTGAAGGCCCACAGGACGTCTGTGGGTGAAGAAAATGCTGCACCACTTGTTCGTCCCTTGAATTCGAGCACTGATGGCGTGTGAATCCTCCTGTTTTTGTTGTTTTTGTTTTTCTCTTCATGAACTGTGATTTATGTCCAATGAATGAGACTTGTTGGTTTGTTTTCTTCGTCCTGCGCTGGGATAATTTTTTCTTTCTTTCTTGTATTTTTCTTCTGCCTCTATTGGTCAGATTGTGTTTATGATTTGGTGAAACATCAGTACTTGAAAGTGTGAAACTGCTGAACCTCAGGCTGTGTGGATGTTCGTCAGCTTTTTTGTTTTTTTTGTAGTGCACTAAATTTTTGCCATCAGTGTTTATCTTTTTGTTTTTTGTTTCAGATTGTATAGTTTTTGATTTTTATTTGTTCTTGCTTTTTTTTGTACCTTGACTTTTTTGTAAATCTGTAATTTTACCAATGATAAAATTCAGGCTCTGAGTTGTACCAGCGCACACAGAGCTTTGCAGAAGTAATGTGGTATTTTCACTCTGCTCGTCATCTTACACTTACTTGAACATGAGTTCAATGTGTGTGCATTTCGGAGGTTTTTTGTTTGTTTGTTTTGTTAGTTTTTGTTTTTTCATCCCCCTGTTCCTCTGATTGCAGTAAACCCGAAATGAGTAGTGTCGTTCAGTGGAAGCTTTTCCCTTTTGCTCTTTTTCTTGCACTGGCTCCACCCAGACGCCTTGTTTTTTGCTGTATAGACTACAACGGCTGACACGATGATCTGTCAGAGCAACAAAATGATTTATCATAGTTTAATAAAACTCTATGATGGCACTATATAAAGTTAAATGTTTTCATTTGATTTTATGTTCTTTTAGTTTGTTACTTCAAAGGAGAGAGAATCTTTCATTCTACAGTCACGTCATATTTTAAATATCGGTACGTTTTATAAAAATAATTGGGTCTTTACCAAGGTCTTCATATCATTTAAATACAGTCTCAGGTGTATGTGTGAGTGTGTGAGACTCATTACAGCTGCTTAATTATTTACAAAAATAAGCCAAAGTGCAGCAGTGTGTGGAAAAACTAAGGACTTGCTGCTTTCAAAGAAGTGAAGAGGGTAATGTAGCAGCTAGGTGCTGCTAATCAAAGGCATTTGATTTACTGATTATCCAGAAATGTGAGCATCTCTGCATAAAGGAAAGAAGCAACTGCTGTTGGGAAGGAATATGTAGCTACTTCTAAAAACTCAAACTTCCAACGTTCCAGACTGGGATTATTTATAAGTGGAAAAAACATTTGGGACAGGTGCCAGTCTGTCTTGGAGTGGACGTTTGAGCAAATTCAGACTGAGGTCAAACCATGCAGTTCTAAGAGAAACCACGACCAAAGACATGAGCGCTACGTTTCAGGCCTGAGTTGATGTTAAAGTTTATGATAGCACAAAACTTTGGAACTATGAAAAAGTTGCTGGGAGAAGGCCTCCTTTCTCCTGTGCACAGTACAGTAGTTTAGGTTTGCAAAGCTGGATCTTAGCAAACCACAAGACTTCAGGAACAGGACATATGAGACCAAAGTGAAGATGTTTAATGCACAGTGCTATGTTTAACAAAAACACAGCCCATGAGCACAAACACCTCACACCAGCTGTCAACCATGGTGGTGGAGAGGTGATAATCTGGGTTTTGCAACCACAGGACTTTGGCTCCTTGCAGTCTTTGAGTCAACTATGAATTTCTCTGTATACCAAAGTATTCAAGTCAAATATGACGCCATCTGTCTGACAGCTAAAGCTTTGCTCAAACTGGGTCATGCAAAAGGAGAATGATCCCACTGTAGCAAATCTGCTACAGACTGTCTGAAAAAGAAAAGAATCATCGTGCTACAATTACCCGTCAGAGTCCAGACCTCATCTTTGGGTGGAACATTTATGCTGTACCTAAACGAATGCCCGCAAATCTCAATGAAGTGAAAGCAATGTTGTAAAGAAGAGAGTGGGCTAAAAATCCTCCACAGTGATGTGAGAGTTTGATAAAGTCTTACAGAAAATCATTACTTTAACTTTTATTGCTGCTAAAGGTGGTTCTACAAGCTACTGAATCATGGGCTGTGCTAATGACAAGCTCATACCTTTCTATGCTTAGTCACTCCATTTGTCATTTCATTTGGTAAAAGCTTTACAGCACGATACTGATCACCAACCTGCTCGTACTAAAAGCAAGGCAGGAAAGACTGAAAAAACACCAGTGTTTCATGGTTGAAGTGGCTTAAAGAAAATATGCTTTAGAACTCCAGAGCAAATAAAACAGGCGATGAGTGTGAAATTAGTGCTTTCCTAGCTGAATTTCAACAAGCTAGTTTTCTTTTGCTGCCTGTCACAAGAAAATTGGCCGTTCAAATCTGCTTTATTGGAGGCAGGCATTTATAAAAGGCTTCTTTATAGGAAATGATCAATTTAAATGTAGAGAAGTTTATTTCCAACTAACAAGAACTTATTAAGAAGTATTTATTTTGACTTCCTTTTTCTATTTAGGGGAAACTGCTTCGAGGCCGTGATTCAGCACCTTTCTCTTTCGCCTGGATTTATTGTTTAACCACATTTACCGGCAGCTTCAGCTGGTACTTGAGGAAATTCTCCTTTTATGGCTTCCTCTAAATGAAGCTCGAATCAACATAATGCTCTTATCATCCATATGCCACGTGTGAGCTCTGGAAAGCCCCCACAACCTAACTTTTCCGTCATGTCACACAGAATCCAGGAAGAAATAAAGACGGCTTCCTGTCCAGACAAAGGAGGAGGTGGCTTTTATGGTGACGGTTTAATGGTTACATAGGGCATGGTTTGTTTTTTAACTTGATAATGAGATTACGCTTTGTTTTGATTAGCATAAAAGGGTGTGAGTAGCTTTGTGTCTGTTTGAGGCTTTAGAAACTTAATTTGTGATTCAACTTTGTTCAAATGATTTATTTTCCAGAATCATAATCTGAGTTTTTGTTTGTTTTTTATTTAAAGTTTGTACAAAAGGTCTTAAGAAAACACACTTTACACATAGTTTTTCATTGACATACTGGGAACACTTCTTCGTGCTGCCAGACGGACATTTGCAAAGCAAAGTTCAACTTTCATGTGCCAGCGTCTCTGAGCTTTCCTGGTTGTGTACAAGTAGACACAATAAATTAACCCAGCTGCGCTCCAGTCCATTGAGCCTGCTAGAAAGCAAAAATCATGTCTAATTTCAAAATACAAGCGCAGATTAAAGTGCTGAGATTCTTCATCTTCTCTGTGCCGCTAAACAAACACAGTGAAGCTGGTCTCGCTTCACTGTGTGGTGTTATTTGTAAATCAGTCGTGTCCACAGACTGTAAAAGATGGACATAGCTGCTGGTTCATGGTCTACCATTGAAGCCTTTAGTTTTATTTTTTATTGTTTTAAATATACATAATGAGTGGCTGTGATATGATAAGACCCACCCACTTTAGAAAAATGAGGTAATAAATCAGGTGAGAAGTACGTAGTTCTCCCTGCTGGCTAAGGCGCATCCACGTTGGCTTCACTTTACAGACTGAAGCTAGTCCATCCTTTATCTACAGTTTATGGTTGTCTGTGTGAACAAGAAATTTCATCTCATTATAACGTAAAAAAAGAAAAAAAAAACAAGCTATGTCAAGAATTCTTGTGCCCTATAACACCATAATAACATGTCACTGGTAAAAATGGCTGCAGTCAGTGTTACTTTACGGGCTGTTTGCCTGCTTGCAGTTTTTTAAACCGCCACCGGGAGGCACTGAGGTCAAATGTCTAAAAAAGCTTGCACATAGACGCTTTAAGCTTTGTGGCTCTTTTTCAAATTGAAAATGTGAGGAGCTGTTTCTGTGTAGCAATAATAAAATACACTTTTAAGACAATTTGGAAATAATAATAATAATAATAATTAAAATGTCACACAACAGTACAAATGTATCATTCACAATATTCTAAGCATTTACAAGTGAAGTCCAGGTAGTTTCAATGTTTATCCCACCAGTTTCTTGAACATGGCACTGGTGATGTTGGGGTTGGGGGTGGTACTGATGGTCGTGTGGGTGCTTTCGCTGAAGCAGCGCATATTCCCGGTGCTGAACACGCACTGCAGAGGCCACAAAACGACCACAATAAGCAGCACAAGGAGCAGAATGAAGAGGATCATCTTCTTGCAGTCAGCCACTCTGTCCACCATAGTGAGATGGCGCTGTGGAAGCTCGGGAGCAGTGTCCATCTTGGAGGACCCAATGTCAATGCAGACGCAGAAGGCCGTAGGACTTTCAGGGTCCCCTGAGCTATTATGATTCTGCCTGCTCTTGTAGCACAGCCTCTCCCCCTCCAGCCACACCGGCTCCTCCTGCTGCTGGTGGCTGGGCAGCTCGCAGAGGACCTCGCGGCTGGTGGCTAGGGCTGGGGGTCCTTCCTTTGGCAAAATAGTGGCCTGCCGGCAGATGGGGCAACGGATGTCTAAGGTGGGGTTTTTGTTGTTGTGGTTGGACAGCGCATTGAGGCGGGAAAGGCACTCCAGGCAGAAGGTGTGGGTGCACTGCAGCTGCTTGGGTGTTTTGAAGACATTGTCGTAGGTGTTGTAGCAGATGGAGCACTCGGGCTGGTTTGCCACTGACACCTTCTTTTGCAGCTCTCCAGCGTCTTCCTGCGAGGGTATCGTCACGTGCCAAACCTGCTGGGTATCTTCCATCTTTAGAGGTCTTTGACGTCCTTTGTCAACTCTCCTTTTGGGCTCTCAGGCTGTTGCCTTGGTCTGTCCTGAAGTCCCTGCTGGAGTGAAATGCACAGATTAGTATTCAGAGTTCTTAAAAATGCCGTAGAAATTGCAACAGTTTACAGTCATGCCTAGCCAAGGCAGGATTTATCCAGTATGAGTGGATAAATCCTTAGTGTTCTTAGCCTCACTTGGTACACTGATAATATTACAAAGTTTAAAGTTTTTATCCTGTCAAGGAGCATTTCGGGAACGATGCATAACTGGTCAAATATGCTGTGTGATAAGGCAGCATGCACAAAGATATATAAATCAGTTAAGTGACCACAAAATGAAAAGAAGCCCTCCAGCCCCTACACAGTGTGGGCAGTGCTGCAGGTACAGCGCCAGTAATGACAACATTTTGATCGTGCCTCAAAAAAGAAAAGCCAAAGACCTTTAGTTCTGCTATAAATCATAGAACTTATTAACGGCTGCTGGATGCGCACTGTGTAGTTTAGTGTTGTAATGTAGAGGGAGTGAATGAGTCAGTCTTCAGTAAGCAATGAAAGCCAAGGATCTCTTTTTTTGTTATTTGTTGAACGCTGTTTGTTGAACATCCTGGTCAACACCTACGGGGTTATCAGATTTTCACGCTGGGTGAATGTCTTCATTGTGGAAATGTAAAGCGTGGGGACTCGTGTTGAGAGTCACCCTGATTGTTTTGGGAATCCATTCCTGTTCTGGGGTCTCTACAAGACTGTTCAGTGTATTATACAGCATCTCTCATCAGCTGCAGTGAATATTAAAAGAATCTACATTATCTAACCAGTTTTGATATAATTGTTTAAAACTGGTGGGAATAAAGCGGCTTCACTGAAGGCTGGAGAGCCTCCACACAGAGAGCCTTCTTTTGGTTTGTACTTCCTCTTAAAAAACGTCCTGTCATCGCAGCTCACATGCACCACGCTGAGCTTATCTTGGTTGGCTTTTACGACAGATACCGTCTCCTTCAAGTTTTAACTTCGTCACCTTTTTTTACATCACGTCTAACTGCCTGCTGAATAGTGACTCATAGAATTTGTTTGGATCCTTTACCTGTCTTTTTTTTGTATCTTTGTGTTTTATCTTGTACTTTCTTTTATATTTTATTAAAACATCTGATGAACACCCTCTAAAACAGCCGAATGGATTATTTCTTTACTCTTCTGGAAATATTAACCGATTCATTGATGTGTGAAAAATGGGAGAGTCTCAAAATGAATCCACAATAAAAGTCCCTATTCCATTCAAACTCAAAGCTTCATATATCTTCCTAGGAAAGAACCCTAATGTTGTAGTTTTGGTATTAAAAGTCAGTCATTTTGAGGGTTTCTGTGTGTTTGTGGATTAGGGATGAATGATGTCAGCACAGGTGTTCTCCTCTCTGTGCCCCGAGGGCCGGTCTTGTCCCAGTTCTCCCATCTACACAAAGTCCCTGCTTGTTCTCCACCTAATCATTCCATCTGCCCTTCACATTCCTGCACAGGGAGCTCTCTCCCTCCACATGTCTGCTGAATGCTTCAGTAGGATGAGGACAGATTTCTCGGTATAATTACACCCGTCTTATCAGTTTAAAGACTCCTTTAACCGCGGATTCTGAATCAATTACACTCTCTTTCAAATTGCGGTTTAGTTGTCGGGCGTGCCCCTTTACTGGACGCCCGTGGCACTGCAGTACGAGGTAGAAGACCTCCAGATAACACTCCCAGTGACTAGTGTCTGATGCAGCACACTGAAAATTCAGTTCATTTCAATATTACCAACGCTGATTAACCACAAAATGACACTTACGCAAAACAAGCATACTTTGAACATTTTAAGGATTTAGCAAATATTTAAACACCTACTTAAAGGTTCATATGTGGCTAATTATTGTATTTCATGTGTTTTAAAGGCACACTGAGCCAGGTCAAGGTCTTACGAAAAGAGGAAAAGTCGTTTGATGATCCCACGCAAGCTCCCTGCATCTACAGTAATAAAGTAGCTAAATTTAAACTGATTGGCTGGATGTGACATCTCCTGCTCTGTTTCCATGTCTGTTAATCTGGTAACAAACTTGTTAAACTTTTACAGGTTTCAGTCTGGTGGCTGGTCAGAAGGAATGCACTGAGGACACTTCACAGATTATAGTCTGACTCTCTGACCTTACAAATTTACTTCATTTAGAAAGAAACATCTGCTCACAGGGACATTGTGTTTGTTTGTTTGTTTGGTTGTTGTTGTTCTTGTTTTGGTAGTTGAATCTGTGGGATTGCTTCTGGAAATTTCCTGTAAAAATTCTACTGTTAATGTGTAAAGATTGTAATACTTCAGAGTTTATCATTAGCCCCTGTGGGCTCTGTTTAAGTATTAGTAGACTGCCCTAGCACACGGCTCGAGCAATACGCAGTAATAGGACAGAGTCGGTTAAACTTTAGAGATATCAACCGCTGTGAGTCCATTTCACTTGTTTTGGTGCAAAAGAAAGTGACAGCAGGTGCACTGCAGAGAGAACAACACAACCTCCCCCCTAACAAAAGGAAAGGTTTTGCACTTGGCTTCCACAGACCATTTCTTTCTCCTTTGCTCTCTTGATTTTTAAAAAATTACAGCTACAAACTGTTACACGCCCTCATTCAGAGGAAAAGCTATAAAAAAACTGATATTGTTCATCAGGTCAAATATTAACTCAAACTCAGTCGTTGCTCAACCCTTAACACTTCAAAACACCACTAAATCTCTTTGTATTTGCGCAGTGCTTTGCTTTGACCTTCCCTTTGCAATCACACATTGCTGACCAGGTGCACATGTTTTTTTCTCCTCACCCATCCCACTGACACAATTCTTTTACAACTTATTTGTGTATTACTATCCCATCCCCCTCCCACCCACCCACCTCGCTTCTTTGTGTCAGGCTCAACTGCCATCTCTAGTGTTGCACTACCTGTTCTCCATTTGAAAGGTAAATGTAACTCGACCTGCCGACAGTTTGAACTAGGGGCGGCTCGAGACGGTTTAACTGATCGTGAGATTAGGTCGAGGCAAAAACAGATCTGTTCAGCAGGTAGCATGTGTACGCGCAAAGGACAATGCAGGAAGCAGTAGTGCAGACATCTGATAAACTGAATACACAGATAGCCACTGGTGAAATGTGGCTGCTGCAGCAGGAGATCATGAACATGTGTTGTGACGGTACCACTCTTTGCATCTCAGCAGTATGGAGATGAGATAAAACAGCCTCATTTGTCAAAGACAGCCTGGAGTGTCATTTTGTTCAATTTAACGGGTAATAATAAATAATCAAATATGGGTGCAAACACTAAAGTGCAGCATTTAAAGCCTTTTAGTTTAACATCAGTGAGCTTCAAACTGTTTAAAAAATTGCCTCAAAACAGCATGAAGAACAAAAGTTCAGTTTACCTGTTAGATGATTAAGATGTGCTCCTGTCTTGATCGCGGTTGGGCCGAGCTCAGCTCACTCCCTCAGAACTTGACAAAGCATTTTTCTCTCAGTCAAATTCAACTGACTTCCAAATTCACACCAGGGAGTTTGGGGTGTTAATTGTGCCTCTGCTCAGGTTGAGGTCCTCCTCCGTGGTGTTTGTTCGAGTGGGTGCGTGTTCAGAGGCTGAGTAACGGCTCGCTGTGTGAGAGTCAGCTCTGAGTTGTCCCTCCTCAGTGTCACCTGTCAGGCTCTGTCAGCTCCCCTTTTTAGCCCTCTATGTAAATGGCCTCAACAGAGTTTTGGCCTTGAGGCGGGGAGGGAGGAGGAGGAAGGGGAGGAGGAAGACGCCTCACAACTTCAAGGAGAGTAGTACACATTACTGGCCTGTCTTTTTATGTTCTTTCATGCCTCTTTCTGCCTGTGCTCACTGTCTCTCCACACATAAAACAAACACCTATAACCTACAGCACACTAATCACACTCAATCTGATATATTATTGACGTGACTGCAACATTCATTTTCTTGTCAACAGCACTCAAGTCTGTGCCCTTAAAACAAAAACCTTTAGGACTGGCTTTTTCAGAGAATAAATAAATGCAAACAGACTGAAACTGCTGTTTTTTTAAAAAAAATTTTTACACAACCAGTGTGCTTAAGATACACAATACATATACAGGTCTCACTTCCATGTAGCCACTGATAAGGTGGTGATAGAGGAATATCTTCCCGCCAGAGCACCGCTGCATATACGAACAGGCTCTCGCTCCACTTGTAGTGCTGCTGGTCAACATTACAAGCCGTTATAATTCAGCCTGATACATTTTCCAAAACTTTCCGAGCTACACTTCATTAAGAAAAGAAAACAAAAATGACATCATGTTTGATCTCAGAGGGCGAGATCGCCATTAAGGAGGTCAGAGCTCAGAGATTAGAAAGACTTCTCTTCAAATCTGTATTTGAAAGACTGTCAGGATATTCAATCAGCACCTCTAACAGGATATAAACACAAAAGTAACAACGGCATCCACCGTGAAGAGGCTACTGCTCATTTATATGACTTGAAGGATGTGTGTTGGGTGTTTTATTTGATTACTCATTACATCTTATGGAAATGACTAATGGCTGTTGGCCATTAGCAATAATATGTCTCTGCAATAACAGCTTCCTAACTGACTCAGTTATTTAGTAACCCAAGCACAAATACTGCTCTATCGTATCAGCAAAGTCATTTCTTGGGCACTAAGCAGAGCGGCCTTTGACGAAGGAGAAGGTGTACAATCAGATGTTTTCTTTGTTGTTTTTGTTTAATTCCCTTTCCTGGAATCCATGTATTGGGCCAAATAATAAACATGCCAAAGATTTAGTGAGAGTGTAATTCTATAGTGAATGATGTTGCACGATAGATGGCAGGGAAATGATACACGTGAGAAGGGAATGTGTTTGTGCAGACGGGCCATAAAATGACACAATGTTGACTGTCTGTCCTCTTGAACTGACAGTTACTCAAACAATGAATATGATAGTCTCAACCTCTATGGCCATGCCTCCAAGGTCAGAATCTCCTGCTGTTTCATTTTAGTAGGAATATGTGCACAGTGTTGGCGGTAAGTGACATGATTATTTTTAATTAACACTGAGGATTCTCAGATGTGCCTCCTACTGGATTTGTAAATGTTCGCATCTACAGCTTGCATGAATTTCGTTTTCCACTTTCCTGTCGAGAAATTTCCATGAATCTCTGTCCTTCATCTAGTTCAGAAAGCAACACATAGGCGTCTTAATGTTTTACCAGACTGCATGACGTCACTCCAGTCCCCAGCGTTTGTCTCCAGTGGCTCCCTGTGCATTTCTTTAAGTTCGATTACTTATAAAGAAACAAACTGTCCCTAATGTTTATGGTAGTTTTGTTTTAATGGAGAGAGACAGACTCTCAACCAAATATCCAGAAAAGTAAAACAAACAAAACAAAAAGTACTTGATCCCCTGTATCCCACTGATTGGCTCTGTGCCCATCTGATCCACGCATAAAAAAACAATTGACCACAGAAACAATTTCTCCCAGGCCAAAGATCTGTCAAAGGACATAAGCAGCAAGCTTGTAGACCTCCACAAGGCTGGAGTGGGAGTGGACTGTAAAGCTCGTCTCAAGGACCTGCAAATGATTCTGAGAAGGCTGGAAGAAAGTCCTTTGGTCAGCACAAGGTTTAAAAAAAAGGGGTTTTCTGGCATCATCTCGACCATCCCCACAGTCAAGCATGGAGGTGGCAACATTTTATTTGGGGGCTGTTTTTCTGCTAAGGTTACAGGACAGCTACACAGCATTGAGGGGTTAACGGACGTTGTCATGTATTGTAAAATCTTGGACAAGAGCCACCTTTCCTCAATCAGAACACTGAAGCTGCCATGTCCAGCATATCAGTGACCCAAAACATTACACAAAGTTAAAGCCCTATAGAAAATCTGTGGAGCTGAAACTTCAGAGTTACCAAGTGCCACCAAAAAAACCTACATGATTTTGAGAGTTTCTGTAGAGATGAGTGGGACAAAATCTCTCCTGGAATTTGTGCAAACCTGATGATCAAGCTCTCCCGAGGGTTTCTTAAGGTAAGATAAGATAAGATAAGATAACCTTTATTAGTCCCACACGTGGGAAATTTGTTTTGTCACAGCAGGAAGTGGACAGTGCAAAAGTTATGAAGCAAAAATTAGAATACAATAAGAATAAATACAGTACACAGCTGTACAGAATAGAATAAAATAAAATACTATATACAGTAGAATAAAATATACAATAAGATAAAAATAGAATACAAATGCTTAATACAACTGAGTAAAAATACAACGATGCCAGAAAAGATTATTGCACTTAGTGTTATGGCACATGTATGGATGTGTGTGCTTGATCAGTTAAAGTCTTTATTATGGAGTCTGACAGCAGTGGGGAGGAAAGACCTGTGAAATCTCTCCGTCCCACACCGTGGGTGCCGCAGTCTCCCACTGAAGGAGCTGCTCAGTGCTGTCACAGTCTGCTGCATGGGGTGGGAGATGTTGTCCAACAGGGATGACAGCTTAGCCGCCATTCTCCTGTCACTCACCACCTCCACTGGGTCCAGAGGGCATCCTAGAACAAGAACTTCTCCAAGAACCGAGTCATGTTTACCTAATTTGCAGTTCTTATACTTTGACTGCAGTTTCTAGCATTTGGTGGAAGTGTCAGGATGAGTTGAACATTAAGTTGAGCAGGGTTAGTGGAATTTTACAATGAACTCAAGGACGTGAAGAAAGGTGACATTCAGCAGAGAGTCTTCTAGTAACAGGTTGCTCTAAATCTGACATTTAGTTGCAATGAAACAATGGTTTTTTTTTCTCTCTCTCTCTCTTCCCCCGTTTTGTTTCCCGTTACCCTCTCTTCCACAGCTCTGCAGGTAGCTCCAGTTCTGGAACTACCTGTTCCTGGTTTGCAGTTACTGGTCACACCAGCCTATCAAGTGCTTCTATTTGTTTTCTGTCTCTTTGCTCTTTTTCCAGCTCCTCACTTTCCCTTCATCCCAAACTGGTCGAAGTAGTTTGTTGCCCTTGCCGAATCTGGTTTTGCTGGTACAATACAATTACAGCCACCACTAATTGTACATGATACTGAAGACACTGTAGGGATGGTGCAGTGGTTGGCGCCATCCTCCTCGTTGGCTGGGGCCTCTTTTTGTGCAATTCATACGTCATCTCCACAGATGTGGACGTGTGTGTCCTGTTAATTAGTGCTGGTCATAGATGTAAATGTGAGAGCGAATGGTTGACTGGTGACTTGGTGCACTGGGTTTCCCCAGATGACCCAGTTCAGTGACTGCTTTGGTAATCGATTACCTCAATGATTGCTAAAGACAGAGCCTCTATCACGTCTCAGCTTGTTCCCTGGATCACCTGACTCCAAGTAGCTTTAAAAAACAACTGCTAGGAAAAATAGGCTCACATCATTTTTCTAGCATGGACAGTGAGTTACTTGTGTGTTCGATAAAGACATATTAAGTACAACTGCTGTTAATATTTATTAGTTTACATGGTTTGCATTTGTCTGTGATTTTGATGAAGGTCAGACTTCACTTTATGAGTAACCCTCGGATAAATCCTTTTAAGTACGAGCCTCTGTTTGGCAAGGTCTGAAGGACTGTGAGTCATTGGATTCTGTTTGGATCTTGATGACCCATTCATCTGATTTTGCATCTTCTATTTGACTATGTTGATGCTTCAAGGACAGCCTGAGTCTTTTTTATCTAATTGGAGAGATAGTACATACTCATGTGGAAGAGAGAGTAGACACAGGAAGACTGTGAAAAACTCTCATTGGAAGGATACCTGCTGCAATACCTGCACTCATCTCTTTCACGCTTCGTATATGACACGATTATGGAGTTTGAGAACAAACGTATGTAACAATGATCAGTGAAAACCAAAATCATTAACGCTTTGAGGTCTGGATTTAAGTTAAAATAAAAACTGTATTCAAATTAAAATTTCATTAAATAAAAAATTAGGTTACAACTAATTAATGAAGCATTCCTGTTTTTAATTTTTCTTATCATTACAACAGGGGTAACATGATTATGCGGACAATTTAAATGACAATTTAAAGGTCCGTGTAATTTTGCTAACAGCACACGGCTTCTGGAGACTGAACTTAACAAAATTTGCCAAGAAGTGTTTTTGAAACTTTTGCCTTCTTTTTTCTTCTTGTCTTTACTGTCAACAAGTCGGATGACAGACCTGAGAGAAGGTCACTGCTGAAGTTAAACTTCCCACATCCAATAAAAATGTGAAGGGCAAACAGACCGGTTAAGTTTAAATTTGGGATAAAGGTGTTATATTTCCACTAATATGGATGTGTTAGAGATCTGGGACAAAGCTTTGACAGGTTAGGTTCAAAATTACTTCAAATCAAAGCAGGTAAACAAGAAAACAAATCATTTAAAAGGGTGTGTTTTACAGTTGACTGTAAACTTATTATTTATCTTTATGACTTCAAAACAGTCATAGAGAAGGAGTTTATCCTCTCCAGTTTTCCTTGTTGTCGTCACTGTTATCGAGAAAACGATGGCTCTAAGGAGGATGTTTACGACTTCCTCGGAGACTCAAATGAGCCGTATAAAAACAGATCACGTGCTGATCAGATTTTCCATGGGGGATGGAAACTCTGTGCATAGCTTTCCAAAATAAAGAATAACTTCTGAACTGAGTTCAGTCAATATTTCTGTTTGGTGTGAAATTATAATTTTCCATCATACTCTGACCTTAACTGACAACATGCAGCATTAATGGACGTACTTATGCCGACACAGTATTATGCATTACTGCAGATGGGCCAAATGACTTTTGGAAAATGATATGTTGTACAAAATAAACACCTGCTCAGACACACACACATGCAATGAGAATACAAACTTGCATGCATCTTTACATTTTCCACAAAACTTATTTACAAAAAATTAACCAACAATGATGCCTTTTTTTTTCTGCGCACCACCAGGAACCTCTAGTAAGTATGTGTGTATTCTGGCAACATTAGCGTTCACTTTAAAGTGTCCGTTAATGTTGCCAGAAATCGTGGAAAAGATTGTGACAGCTCGTGTTGTTGCAAGGGATGAATTCAATTGATGGGTGGAAATTCACTTGGATTACTTGGAAGGAAAAAGAAAAGAAATGTACAATTATTTGTCAGTTAGAATCTGATGAGAAGGGTCGTCACAGAGCAGAATCACAGATGGATGTGGGAGAAACTGATTGAATTTCCAAAGTCTAGACATTAGTAGTGTCTATTTGTGAACTTATCGAGATTTTGGAGGCAATGCACTGGGCAACTGAACTAAGGTGGAGATGGGGAGGCGGAGGACGATACTATTTAAAGACAGTGGTAGATCATGATGACTTTTAAGTCTAAGAGACTAGGGGCTGATGGGCTGATGAGAATGTGGGTAGACAGAGTAGTGACACTAAAAATTTGAAAGAGCTGAATTCAAGTTACAGCAAAACAGAAGAGATGAGAAAACCAGGGCAGCGATAACACCTCATATTACCAACAGCATTGTAGCTAGAACACAAGAATTTAGATGTTTCTTATTAAGCTTTGATAAAGTGAGTTTTGCTCATGAAAAGAATAAATAACCAGAGAGACTTTATATAAATGCAGCAGAGTACTCTTTGTAGTCATACTTTTGAAAACAATTATGACATTTAATTTTTTTCTTTTCTTTTTAAAAACTCCGTATGACCTTAGGAGAACTCCTAATTCTACTAATTCATAAGAATTTATTTATTTACAGACATTTACTTACAGTCCCAACTGCAAAGTTGATCAAAAAGTAAAGTTTTAAGTCTAACCTTAAAAGAAGAGAGGGCATCTGTCTCCTGAACCCAAACTGGGAGCTGAAAGCTCTGCCTCCCATTCTACTTTTGGAACCCGTAGGAACCACAAGTAGTGCTCTGTTTGGATGAGGACAGGTAGTCTTGTGATGCAATGAGGCCTGCTTATTAGGACTCTGTAATATGAAATATGAATGTGGGGTTGAGGCTGGATTATTGATGAGGCAAAATGGAAAACTTTCTTGAGACCACAGATCATCAGGCGGATGTATTCTAAAATGTGGGAACCACTAATATAAGCAAATATGATTAATGAATCTTCTTTTTTACAAAATCCTGAGACACTATCTTGGAAAAGATTTCTTGTCAGGATTTAGTTTTAAGACCATCGAACTGAATGGTTTAAAGTGAAAAACAAAAATCCTTGCAGTATAATGTATTGTTTTGAACACAGTGCATTATATTGTACATTATAAGTGAAAACGACTCTTGCGAGTCCAAAAAAAGAAAAAAGTGGAAGGAATTCATTCAGATTCATTGTGGGTTTGGGGTCACCAGGGGCTCTCACAGTTTAATACAACCTCAGGAAACAGTGGGTGTACATAGTGGAGCAGTAAAAGTAGCAACTGAATACAAGAAAGTAATCAAATATTGACTCCAGACTCAATGACAATGAGAAGCCTACACAAATAAAATTCTCATGGGGTTTGGGTACTGTCTTCTCTGTCTTGTATATCACAGTTTTCAGTCAACTTGCTGACCTCCTGAGGACGCACTGTACTTTGATATATATATATTGCCTGGATTTCATAGGGCCAAACCCCAGAAGGACAAATAACACGATTCACCAGCACCTGATTAAATGAAGTGACTCCAGGTGTGTTCACGTGATGTTCCCAGTGTGCTCGTTCATGCATCACAGTGTGAGTTTAGCTGTTTTAATATAAACTAGTAATACATGTATAAACTCCACTCTCAGTACATGTGGTGTAGCACTGTTATCAACAACTATTGCTGTGCCATGAGGTCTCATAGCGCTGTTGTAATAGTTGCACAAACAACATAAGCATATTATTAGTATTTGCATTTTAGCTTCATTGTTTGCATCCACTCCTCTATTTATGAACGAGGTGATTTCTATGAAAATGAACGAGTCACAGCTGCTGGTAAACAAAGTAAATATCTGGATTTCCATGAAAATCAAACAAGTTGCAGCTTCTCGTCTCGTCAAGGTCGAGAAACTTGCTAGAGTGTCACAATCAGGCCCAGATAAAGAGAGAATTCACGGGCAGTTTCGCCTGTGTGTGCATCCTGTGAGCACTTCAGAGGCAGCCTCTGAGGCACGGCTTTACAAAAAAACACATGAAAACGTAGAACATGGAATTTCAAACTTGTACTTCAGCAGCGCTTTCTTTGGGTAGACGTGAAATAATGACTACCTGCAGGTGATTAAAGACGTCTCAACGGGGAAATGGATGGAACGCTTTCCAAGTACCACAGTTAATTAATTTTACTTAATTGCTTTCAATCACTGTGAATATTCATCACCATGTCAGAGATGTGTATTGTCGAAGGTGTAGCATTAACATTAGTAGTAAATAGTAGCAATAATAGTGAACAAATTAGTAGACTTGTTTAGTAGCAGAGTGGAATTAAGACTTTAACACCACCAGTGGTGTTAGAAAAGTAGCTTTGGTGTTTGAACGAAGCATGACGTCATTGTCTCAAAAGTGCCTCGTAAGGGCTTCTCTTCATTGACTCCCCGTTAAATTCAGAATCAAATTTAAAACCCTTCTCCTCATATACAAGGTCTTGAATAATCAGGCCCCATCTTATCTTAAAGACCTCACAGTGGTAGGCTCCTAGGATTTTAAAAGTAGAATGGGAGAGAGAGCCTTCAGCTTTCAGGCACTTTTTCTGTGGAACCCAGTTTGGAGCTGGTTCACCTCTTTTCACTCGCCATGCGTTTATACACCACTATGCATTTAACCGTTATTTATTATTAATCTCTGTCTTTCTTCCACAGTGTCTGCCACCCCCCTCCGGTTCTCCCAGAGGTTTCTTCCTGTTAAAAGGGAACTTTTCCTTCCCACTGTCGCCAAGTGCTTGCTCATAGAAGGTCATCTGATTGTTGGGGTTTTCTCTGTTTAATTACTGGACCTTTACTTTACACTATATATCGCACCTTAAGGTGACTGTCATTTTGATATAGCGCCTATATAAATCTAATTAAATAGAACTGAGTTGAATTGAAAAAATGGTAAAATTAATATATATGTCGCATTATAATGGAAAGAGTTTAGAAGATCAAATTTCAAATCAAATACGCAATTGTATCCCAGTGCCATTTTTCTTGTAAACATGAAAATATCTTTGCAGACCTATTTTATATGTATTGGCTCTGATTTTGAGTTGCTGGAAGTAGATCACTGGAACGTGCAGACACGAACAAATATTCAAAAGTAGGTTACAGTCAAGTGAAGCGAAAGGAAACAGTTTGTCTTTGAACAGTAGATGTAGGCAGATTAAAAACAATGTGTAAATTTGCCTGTAGGACATTCCAAGACTGGTGATTTTTGTTTGCTATTGTCCATAAATTCCATGGGAAAAGGGCAGCAACGTGTTTCTCGGTATTTTCCTCTGAACGCTGAATCTCAATGTTCTTACTGACTATCAAGTAAATATTTAAACAAGAAATGCCTCGAGTGACCTGCATATTTATGTAAATGGTGCGTTGCTTGGAGCCCTTGCAACACCTTAAATTCTTGACAAGTTTATCACACAACTATGTGACACTGTGTAGCATTTATCTACACACTGCACAACTCAAATGAGTGCAATTCAGTCTTACTATAAAGTTAAAAATCTGAATGTATGAAAATAAACTTAATTATAATAATAACTGTAATCTTTTACATCAGGTGTCTTGCTGGCAGGTTTTTGCACATTTTGTCTGAAATAGGGAAAAGACACTTGACACTTTCGTTGCTGTTAGGCTTCATGTTGGAGCTTAGAGTAGAAAGACGTGGAGACAGCGCCCCCATATGGTCATAATCCTGATGTACTTGTTATTGTTCGCCACGAAAACATCACGTGATTTCATTCACCTGACGACTGCCTCTTAGGCCACGTGTATCATCCCAGCAAACGCGTCTTACCCTGCGTTATATTTCTATACAAGCAGAAGAATGTTATTCACCTCTTTTGAGGTTAGGCTTGTAATCAGTGTGAATTTCATATATAGTGAGTAAATTTAGGTCAAAGGAACAAACATTTTACATGATATGATGATCAGAAGAAAAACAGAGTAGAATAATGTGTAAAGAACAGAAAGATTTTAAAAATCTATGTGCTTTGACTATATGTAATATAGTTCCTAGAAAAGCAAGGCCCCTTATTGCCCAACTGCCCTGTTAAATCAATTGTCTGACAACAACCTTAAATACAAAGTTTGCATAAAGACACTACAAAGACTAGATAACACTAGAATTACAATTTACATATGTAAATGGTCTTTTCCTGTATAAACAGGGTATTTTGTTATTTTACATCAACCAATCATACCCTGCTTTTTTCCTCCTTCCTGGTCTTTCTGAATAACCTACATGAACTAAAAATAATCTCACTATACTCACATTTTGAAGCGGACAACCTATGCTAAGATAAAATAAATAAATAAATAATGGCTTAAAATTGGTCCGTTATAGAGGGTTAAGGTAGAACCCAAAGGTTCGTGTATAATAAACAACTGACAATTAAACAGTCTTGGAAGCTTATTTAAAAAGTATGATAAGTCATGCTTTATTACAAAAATATTCCAAATACTGTACACTTGTTCTGAACATGTGCAAAATGTCAAAAAAATATTTACAATTCCAGTAAACAGAATTTAAAAAAAAACATATAATGACCAATTGATCGGATTGAGTTTGAACCTAGAAAAACGGAAACGTTCTCGTAGAGATATTAAGCCCAAACTGAAGAAACAACACAGACACAACATCCAAGTGACAGGAATGCAACAATGAGAATGTTATTTACATGCGCAAGTATAAGACACAAAAGACCCACCAGGCTGGATCCATGCACACAAATTTTAAATGTAAAGTACTTGATTGAAATGTAAGATTGATGCGATTCAAATGTTAGTAGAGTTCCAAGTAAACAGGTTTCTGTGTAAATGGACATAGTGGTTATAACCACACGCTCAAAGATACAACGGTTGATTCTAAGGTCCTCAAAAGAATTTGTAAAATTTAAAAAACAAAACCATATCCCACACACACACTTTTCCAGTTTTCTCCCAGTAAGAAATGCACTGGTCTCAAATTTGAGTTCATGGTTATAACATGAGTCTGCTCCTCCACATCAAGTCTTCTTTGTCCCTTTCACCCTCTATCAGAAGACTCTTTCACAGGCACGGAAATTTCTCAGACCAGGAGCAACAAGAGTTCTGTTTTTAATCACAAAGTCCTTCTTTTACAGAGATGTTGGCCTTTTTTTCATTTAATTTGCAGGAGCTTCATCTTGTTTCCTAAAAGCAGAAGAGGAACAATTAAGTGATGAACACTAACCTTTTAAAATGAACATTTATTGGAGTGACACTTACCCAGTCCTTTAAGAAATTTGTTCACACCACTTGGCTCAGGCTCAGGGCATGAATCCAGATACTCAGCCACTCTGGTTTCAAAGAGACCTGTGGGAAAGATGGAAAGACAGTAGCAGAAAAAAAGGATTAGACAGTCTTCATATGCTACAGCTCATTACGCACAGACCAGATGTCTAAAAATGTAGAAACGCAGTAGAAAAGTGCATTATTCCCATCACACTGATAAAGATCTACATACTCATGGTCTCTTTTACATGCAGGATCAAAGTTTGTCTCACCTTATTTTTCACTTACACCGTATCAAACGTGTGTATGCACAGTTTGAATTTATGTGTGTGGTCTGCACATCTTTTTAAATAGCATTGAGTGGGAAAAGGCTTATGCATACTTTTTGTCCGTTTATACGCCCAGCCCCTAGTGCTTGCATGCAGGGAAAATTGTTTTCACTCAGTTTTAGGCTCGCTTGTTGTGACTCATTTAATTTAATGCATATGTCTGCTTTAATATGATTCAACACTGCTATTTATCCATTTACCGGTTATGTGGAAACAATGACTTGTTTATTTCAACTTTGATGCAACATCTTGCAGGATGATGTTTTATATTTTTCACATTCATCTGTCCCACCAAGATGTACAACGTTGGCTACGTTTCACTGTGAAGCTGGATGAATTCTAAATTTCTGTTTTGCTTTTGTATTTTGCTGTTTATTGGCACAGCTCTGCAGTTATTATGTTAAAAGGTAAAGTCAGCCTCTGAAGCAATGAAATCTAAATCGAGCACAGTTCCAGCTGGCATGAGTGTCTCCCGCTGCCTCATGATTTAGTTTTACCTATTTTTTTCAGAACTCTAACAGTGGAAACAAAATATTCCCAAACAGAAAAAAACATAACATCTAAAAAAATGACCTCTTCCTCCTCCCTTGCGCAGCTCCTTGTCCTGAATGAAACCAGCAAACATCTGAGTGTCCATGAAGAGCTGCAGGAACTGCCGGACTCCCCGAGAGGGATGAGATTTGCGGAAACTGTCCCGCTGGAGCTCCTTGTTGCCATTGGGGGACTCGACCATGTGGAGTGGATAGTGTCCCACTAGCTCCACGAACAATCGCACAAACGCCTCCGACATCAAGGAGCTCAAATCAGTTTGCTGGTCTGAATGATTAAATAAGGAAAATGTTAGCACAGCAGTAAGGTTAATACTTAATGAAATGCTAAAAGCCTATGATTACATGAAAAAAAGAACAACAACAAGGGGGTCATCAACACAAATCTGGTTAAAGATTTGTAATCACACAACTGGAACTAATGAGCAGAAAACAGAATGTGCATTGATCTGCAGTAGGTTTGCCCTGCTGTGCTGCTGACATTTGCAGCTCATTTCTGCACAGCCAGATTTAGCTGGCAGAACAAAAGGACACACTGATAGTGCTATGATGAAAACTGATGCCAGCAAATATTCTTCTCATCGTCACTTTAAAAATGGAACTTCATCTTGTGATAGCGAGACTGTTTTGTAGATAAATCTTGTGTTCTTCGCGTTTGTTCCACCAACCTCCACATGTGTTTCCATTTTCTTCTCTCAGAATATCTTGCCTCTCCTCCAGGATCTGCTGCAACGCCGCCTGGAGTTTACTGGGCAGAATGCAGTCCTCATCGCCCAGCTGTCACACATCACAAGAAGGGTCAACAGCAGTCACATGATGCAGTTTCTAAGCATGCATTTAATCCGTCACATTGTCTCATAGTTAATATCTATAGTAGCCTCAATATAAAAACATCAAATGTCACTCGTGTTTTCAATTTTTGCTGTGACAAACTAAATAATTATATTTGGTGCTTTGATCACATTGTTTTTTCATGCACTAGATTTAAAACCCAAGACCCAGTGTTAAACTTCAAAAGCACTCTGTACTGGGAAATGTAGCCATTTACTGTTTAATGTGCAAGAATGCAACAGGCCAAAGGAGCAGAATGCCTCCAGCCCACACTGTGCAAGTCAAAGATTTTTAGCCCTTTATTCATAAATTCAAACTGAATGGAGGGATGTTTCTAGAATTACTCATTATGTGTATACTAATATAATGAGCACAACCACACAAAAGTCTGTCAATGACTGAAAAGACTTACTGTTAACTGACAAAATTGCAGCACTGAATCAGCCTTAATGTTTTGATTGTGACAGGACTATGTTCTGGGCTTACATCCCATATAATTTGTCACTCTCAAAATATTCAGCATGCTACCGAGGGACAAGTGTAGGCAAAGCCATCTTTTTGACTGAGACCACACCTATCATTCCCATTATACGTTGTGTGTACACACCTGAATGACAAACTTGTTTGCACACAGATCCACTATGAGCACCTGGGAAGACAGCAAGAAGAAGAATTGACAGTTACTAACTGTAAGACTTAACAATTGTGTAATAAGAGTTATATAAAGGTCCAGTGAGTGTGAGTTACAGTGTGCTGCTGCACAGTGGAAGCAACAGCATGCGTGGAGTGAATATACAGCCAATAAACCATTACACAGGCAGGACTGTCTTTTTAAAGCTCTAATTGTTTTCAAAATTATTTTTACAGACCTCTTCAATGGGAAGCTCCAGCACCTGTGGCAGGCAGGGTGCCAGCACCCCAATGAGGAATGGGGTGGGGGAACAGCTGATGTCCAGCATGCTGGCTGGTAACACCGGCACGAAGGTGTGCTGCCAAGTAAACGGGTAGAGCAGCGCCAAGGCTGCGTGGCTGCAGCGTGACAGCACACTGCAGTGAAGAGATTAGATGAGAGATGAGGTTTATCAAAACACTATTCATGCAATTCCCACACAGATCACATGACACTGAGATATCAATCATGGCTCCCTAAAGATAGAGGATGGCCACATGTATTATTTTTCCACCAAACACTCACAATAAACTGTAAGAGCTTTCAGCAAAACGCCTTAAGTATCAAAGGATTCTCTTAATGCAACTGATCTATGTTAATCCTCTTAGTTCAGCAGTCACTGCTACTCCTGCTGACACTCCTCGTCCCTTTACAGAAAGTTGCATGCGTGCTGTGAAAATCCTCCTCCGCTTTCACCTGGTTGCTCAACTTCTACAGCTAACATTTTCTTGGTTTTGCCAAAGAGCCTTTTTTGTGTTTTTCAAACAGTATCTGTAGCCTCACTAAGATATTCAATCTTTAAAAGGTGAATCGCTAATTTCCCCCAACATTTTCAGCTGCTCTTAGCAAAAAGCCAAATTTCAAATAAAGCTACTTGGAAAAGAAATTTAAAAAAATTTCTCATGGACATTTACTTACGATCTACATTTAATAACTTTCTAATTACCATCAGTCACTTTTAGAGCACTTAGCAGAGCAGTAATTGCTTGCCATGCTATTAGAAACTTTTAATTAGTAATTTAGTGTATGTGATCTTTTGATTTTTCTTAATTAATTTTAGACTGTGTCACTTTCTCTAATGTGGCAGTCTCTATTTTTTAAGCTCAGTGTAACAAGCAGCTCACAGATGTTACTTAAATGATGTAAAACACAGTTAATTTCACCATGTGCAATGTGTTATTTATACCCATTGTTAGCATTTCTATATTACTATTTGGTTATTTGGCTAGAGTAAAAGTGAGTTATGGTAACTGGATCAGAGAAACACATTGGTGCAGCATTGCTCGGGTATTGGCATATAACTCTGCACTAAGGTTGTACACATACCAGTCATATGCTTGAAGTTCCAGGCCTGATTAGTTTCGAGTTTGTCTCTTTTGCTCTCTATATCCCACTCTGCTCTCTAAATGTAGCATCTGAGCATTCTGTCTTTCCTCACAGCTCAAAATTGTATTCAGTGTGACTTGTTTTGAGCTGTTTTGTGTATGTAGCAATTTTTAGTTATCCTACAAGGATACAAATGATGTTAAAAGAAGCCTCCATGTCAGCCTGAGCACAGACAAACTAGAGTGCATCATGCATGATCCGGGCAGCATATGAACTACTTGGTGTGAACAAAAGCCAAACCAATGTTGGACAGAAATCGGTGTTACATCCTGTATCACCTAATGTTCTCACAACTTTTTGAAACAGGCGCTCAGCTTTAACAGGAACTGTTAGAAGTTTGACATAACAATGCAAACTTACAAAGGCATATATCATGGTGGAGCGAATTACCCACTATATTGCTGTATTATAGCCATCAATGCCTGACTGGTCCTGCTGTGAGATGCATGCTACCACATCATACCTGAGTTTGTCAGCGACAAAGATGACTCTCCTCTCGAGCAGAAGGGAGGCGAAAACCTGCAGGAGTTTTGTGACACTGAGACATTCCAGCAGACTGTCAAAGTCCACATGCTCCAGTCTGGAGTCCACAGGTCGGCATAAAGTCAGTTCCTTGCAAAGCAATGAGAGCACACTCAGTCAGGCTAAATATAAATTGTAGTTGTTGACAGTGTGTATGAATGGCTGAAATGTTTATGCAAAACTAAGCCTTTTAGGATGCTGAATACCCATGTTCATGTTGTTCGATCTTTTATCTGCCAGATCACCAGAGACTTATGAATGATTAGAGCCAGGGGTTTTGTTCTGTTCTAGCCACATATCGAATAAACATAATTCCAGGAACTAGAGGTTGTTTTTCTTTTTTTAAAGAATGAAATCTGATACGTGCATTTCAGCCTTGTAATTCCTCCGATACAAGTTTTTCCATGTGGGTATGCCAAACAAAAGCATAAAAAGCACCTGGGGAGATAAGTGTGTTTTTTTGTCCTGACTCTCTCCCCTCATCCCCAACTGGTCAGGGCAGATGGCCGCCCCTCCCTGAGCCACGCTCTGCCTGAGGTTTCTTCCTGTTAAAAGGGAGTTTTCATTCTTCCCACTGTTTTCAAGTGCTTGCTCGCAGGGGGTAAAATATGATTATTGGGGTTTTTTCTCCATTATAGTAGGATCTTCAACTTGAGCACGTTGAGGCAACTGTTGTGATTTCGCTATTTAAGTAAAACGGTGTTGAAATGAACTGAATATGATGCTGAGCTCTTGAATTTTAAGAGGTTATAGTCAATGGTCAAATGATAGATGGGGACTTTAGATATAGGTTTTAAATCTAGGACTTCCAAATGTAAGGCTTTGACTTTGCCACACTTCCTGAGTTTTACTGGAAAGGATCCTTACTTTGCATATTTTGACTCTGTAAAACAGAAGTGATCAAACAGTTTGCTGTCAGTGTTTAAAAACACATATATATGTTGCAGCATGGCTGAGCCCTATTGTTTTCACAAATACCCTAAAATTTTGAGTCATTCTGAGTTTGCAGAAGGGAGTGGCTAGAAGGAGCAAAACTACTAATTAACATTTCCTCTTTTGGTTTCAGGCTTACCTCACTCCCAGCGCCTGGGACGAAGCTCTTAACGGTAACTGTGCGTCCAGGGGCTGGAAAAGGAGCTTCCATCACAGTACGCATAAAAGGGTACACGAGAGCCGGAGATATTTCTCTGCGCCTCTCCACCTCTTCCAGAATCTGGTCAGACAAAGCCAGATGAATCAATTTTTGCATGCAGATGGGGTTTTCCTTCAGAGCACACTACTGGTTGTTAATTTCCCTCAGGCCAGCTGAAGGATGGATGAGACACAGTTACATGCATACGATTTCCTTTTGGGAAAGAACCCCACACCCAGTGACTCCTCAGGATTATCTTCTAGTGCACCCTCATCCTATCTTTAAACATGCAGTTTTAAGGCAGCGGGTTTCACAATCTTCAGGGGATTAGCACTAAACTGTAGTCGATCCAGCTCTTTTCATGTCGCAGTAAAAAGTTCTATCAGCAGAAATATGTGTGCACATGTGTTGTGTCTTTACCTTTGCAAAAAGATTGAAACAGCCCAGCTTGCTGACAATACAGTGCACCTCAGGAAGTCTCTTCCCCTTTCCACTGGGCTTAAAGAGACAGTTTCAAATGATAAAAAGGAAGAAACAGGGATGTCATTACAACACCATTAAACACGGCATATCTCTCTCAGTCTCTAAAATAGCAGGAGTAGAAAATCCTAAAAGTCATAAAGTCCCTATCCATGTTTTTCATAGTGGCAATCGGTTTTTTCCCCCCATGTCCTCTTCATTAGATGTAACATCCAATGTTAAAACTATAAAAAAAAACTGAAAAATCTGCAAAAAAAAACTGCTTGGACAATAAAATTTAAGTAGAATATCAATGGCATAAAGCTAATCTGGATCAGGATCCATCACAATCCACAGAATATAGGCCATAAAAATGACAAAAGCAAGCTGGAGCATAATTTGGGTGCAGACCCATGAAGTGATCACTTGGTGTACCGGTAAGTTGGATTAAATCCTATTGAGATTCTTTGTAATCATGACTGGACCGTTTTGTTGTTATGAAAGCAGTCATATGAAGTTATTCTCTAACTGCAAATTGAAGATTTCTAAGTGCAGGAAAACCGGGCGGCACAAGTAATCTGAGCATGAGTTTTATGCTTTGGGGATTTACAGCAGACACTTTGCAATGGTTTCCGCCATGTTACAAACACAATTACTGGATTAATCAAGAAAATAACCTGCAGGTTAATGAAGTGAAATTGAAATAGATGTTAATGACACAGTATCTGAAGCAGCGTCTGGAGAAACAGCAAAACTGAAAAAGCTCTCTAAGTTGTGCGAGTTGAGAAAAACAAAATATAAAACTCTCCACATTCGATGTGGCCTAGATCTGTCTGTACTACCCAACAACAAAGTTTATCGCAGACATCTTAACAAGACAATTGCAATAGCAGTAACAAAGCAAAAGAAAAGCACAACACTTGTCATAATTTCAACATACAAAACTGAACCCTTCTCAGGCCAAGGAAAAGGGAACATGATGAAATTCTTCTTGCTCTCTGTCATTAATACAGAAGTGGTTTATGGTCTGTGACTCACATCTCCTAAGAGATGTTGAGTAAGCACAGGGCAGGCTGCCATATCATGACACACACACACACACGAACATTTGAGTCAAATGCTCACCAGGATCTTACGGCAGTAACAAAACCAGCGGCTGCCATCTTCTCCAGTCAGGACAAAGGAAAACGTCTCGCTGTCAACGCAAACACAGATAATGCTATTTATCCGAGGTAATTTAACCATGATGTTCCATGTATAAAAATTGGTGGGAAAAAGAGCTGGCTTGATATGAATGATTTCATTATGGAATCATTTCATTATAATTAATTAAACAGGAAAAACACTACACTAAATAAAGACAGACAGAACAGAAAATATGTACATGTACATATTTGTCGTCTGGTAGTTTGTATTGGCACAGATGCATATTTTAGAGGCAGGAAGGGAGTGCAAGTTCTGAGCATAACCCTCATTACAACAATGAACCGCACATAGACAAAATGCATACCCAATTCCCCTTAGCACTCCAATTTAATTAGATCAGACAAAACTTTAATCATCCCTGTGGGGAATTTAAGTGATTGCAACAGTGATTTATGGGTTACAACTAATAGCTGGAGATATTAATAGAAAAAGAGGAAATGGGGTAATAAACATGGCATAAATAAGAACGCTGAACAATACAAAGTCAACAAAAGGACTCCAACACAAAGAAAATGAAAGGAAGATGAAGAAATAATACAGTCTCATGTTACCATTACATCACTGGCTTAGCTTTGCTGTGACACAGCATACATCAGGCATGGTGTTAAAACATTGTTGTTGTGTTTAAGCTGACCTAGGCATCAGTGCAGAAGGTTTCCAGTCCTGAGAATCAGGGAAGCAGAACCTTGGGATCACCTTCAGCTGATCCTCAGCTTCTTTGGAAAGCCGGGACGACTTCTCAAACTGAAAGAGAAAAACTCAAGGCTACTACAGGCCAGTCGATTCCCAGAGATCCAATAAAATCAATAAAACAAACAACAACAAAAAAAACACCAAAAA